CAATAAGTGTCAGGGGCCCGAGACCGTTCAGCTGGCTCCCAGCATACATAAGGGGGATTACCAATAGACCCCTGGCAGTCTTCAAGCAGGCACTAGACAAGCACCTAAAGTCGGTACCTGGCCAGCCGGGCTGTGGCTCGTACGTTGGATTGCTTGCAGCCAGCAGTAACAGCCTGGTTGATCAGGCTCTGATCCACCAGGAGGCCTGGTCACAGACCGGGCCGCGAGGGCGTTGACCCCCGGAACTCTCTCCAGGTAAACAGCAGAGGCAGTAGAAACAACAAAAGCAGTAGAATGAGAGCAACAAAAACAGTAGAAACAGCATCAGTATATGCAGTAAAAACGGCAACAACAAAAGCAGTGGTAACTGCTTCAGCAAAAACAGTAGTAACGGCAGCAACAAAAGCAGTAGAAACATCATTAAAATCCAGTGAAGTAGCAGTAACAAAAGTAGTAGAAAGAGCATTAAAATGCAGTAGAAACAGCAGTAACAAAAGCAGTGGAAACAGCAACAACAAAAGCATTGGAAAACACCAAAAGCAGTAGAAACAACAAAAACAACAGAAACGTCAGCAACAAAAGTAGTAGAAACAGCACTAACAAAAGCAGAAAGAACAACAACAAAAGCAGTAGAAACAGCATCAGCAAAGGCAGTAGAAACATCAACTAAAGCCTTAGAAACGCAGCAGCAAAAGCAGTAGAAACAGCAGCAGAGGAAACGATTTATATATTTTTTTCAGATTTATATCAGTTGTACTTCGGTGAAAGACGGCTCAGGAGATATAAAAAAAATCATAGAATAACATCAGTTTACTGAAAATAAAAGCATCAGTAAAAACGTAGCCTTAGCAACAACATCATTACTAACGCAAACGTGATAATTAAAAAGCAGCAAAAGCAGGACACAGCAACATAAAAACACCCGCTGGCGTCGCCAGAAGTATTTTTTTTTTTTTTTGTAGGTGTTAACGTATTAGATGACGCAGATGTTTTACCCCCGCCACCACTACCACCCCGCGGGGTTCCGGTAAATGTAACATAGTGATCATAATGTCTGAATGTTAATCTGTCAGTTATCATAAGTTTTTACGGTCATTTTATCCCACAGTTTTAAGAGAAAACAACACGATAATGGTCTCAGGCGAAAGATATTTGAATAACCAGGGCTGCTGCCCAGTTATATAATTACTTTGGCAAGTATTATGTTTTTTTTTTTTGCAGATCTAGAGAATGTACAGTGAACCTTTACTACAAATATAGGTTCCATCAAACATTAATTACTGGGAACGCTTCGAAGCACTGTATTCGCTAGCGCGCAGGCGAGAGGGATACATCATAATCTACACTTGGAAAATCGTAGAAGGAATGATCCCTAATCTGCACACAAAAATCACTCCCTACGAAAGCAAGAGATTGGGCAGGGGGTGCACAATACCCCCAGTGAAAAGTAGGGGCACCATTGGTATACTAAGAGAAAACACAGTAAGTGTCCGGGGTCCAAGACTGTTTAACAGTCTCCCACCATGCATAAGGGGAATTACCAATAGACTCCTGGCTGTCTTCGTGAGGGAGATGGACAGATACTTAAAGTCTGTGCCGGATCAGCCGGGCTGTGATTCGTATGTTGGATTACTGCGGCCAGCAGTAAGAGCTTGGTTGATCAGGCCCTGGTCCACCGGGAGGCCTGGTCGTGGACCGGGCCGCGGGGGCGTTGATCCTCGGAATACCCTCCAGGTAGACTCCAGGTAGCCCTAGTTCTCTTTTATCATTCCACAATGTATCTCAACCCACATCCACCGGCCAGCCTCTACGTCATCATTTTCAAGGTAAACGACATAATAAGTATTAACAAAAAAAAAAACGAACGCAGACTTGCACTCACATTCTTAGAGTGCGCAACACTACTAGGCATGGAGCAGATATTAAAATATATAAAATTATATATATATATATATATATATATATATATATATATATATATATATATATATATATATATATATATATATATATATATATATATATTATATATATATATAATATATATATATAATGTTCAGAAACTAGTGAAAATGGATAGGTTCGTAGTACTTGCCGCATAGTTGTGAATCTGATCCTTAGAAAACTGATGGCAAAAAGTATAATCACATGTTACAAAATACTCTGAGGATTTATATTCGGACAGTAGTAGACAGTTTGAAAAGTAAAAATCTGTAACAAATAGGCATAGAAAGAGCGGAATGGTCAGGGAAGTAAACTGGACGAGGTAGTGGCTGAGGTAAACTCCACATACAGCTGTAAAAAATAAGTGTGTGAAGCACCTTGGTCCTGCTTCTGAAAAGTTTCTCACCTTGTTCTCCGAGTTGTCACATTTTCCTGTGGCAGTTGAGCTAATCCTTTAATCATGATATTGGGTCTGCAAGTTTTAGCTGGAAGTCTCTAAGCCCCTACAGACATCTGTCGCTACCGAAGGCGGCTCGATGTGGAAAATGGGTTTTCCTCACAATTTGTGAGCCACACCCTGACTTCTTATTGAAAATTGATACACTTCTCTCGACCAGAATGCTCTCGTGTTTGTCCTTGAAAATTCTTTTGGAGTGTTCAATTTGTGCAGATTCCGACAAGGCCCGCCTTACAATTATAGACATCAGTAACCTGATTGTATATCTGGCAGTTATAATATCTGCGTGTAATGGCTGGTAGAAATCCACTCTGAGGATGTGATGTGCCCTAGGACCAGTGAGAATCCTGCCTCAATATTTCTCGTCAGTTTAGTTTTTTTCTTGCTGTAGTTGAGTCTCCTTGGGTACACGAGACTTAACATTGTTCAAGTATATTTTTTTTCAAGGTACAAAGTTGATGATAGTAATTCTTTAGCTGCTGTAATAATCTCGCCTGGTGGCAAAAGCTCTCGCTTCACACGGTGAGGGTCTGGGTTCAATTCCCGGCGAAGGGTGGCAACATTGGACGTGTTTCCTTACACCGGTTGTCTATGTTCACCCATCAGTAAAATGGGTACCCGGGTGTTAGTCGACTGGTGTGAGTCGCATCCTGGGGAAAAACTGACCTAATTTGCGGGAAATGCTCAGCATAACAAGGGACTTTCTTTATTGTAGTATGTCATTGATGTCAGCTAGGCCTGTATACCTTGTATATGTATGTACTTGTAGTAAATAAAAATATTATTATTATTATTAAGTTTGTGGACATACTCCGTGTTTTATTCCACTAGAGCTCTGCTTACTCCATGATGAACTTTATACATTCTATATATAGCTATGAATGATTTCATTTTTTAAGCTCCTTGGCGCTAACGTAATTTCGAATAAATTATTGAGCTGATGTGCGCCTCTGACGATATGATGGGTACTGTACTCACCCTCCGTTCCTTCACATTGAGTGACTTTTGTGGCCTCTGTCTCCCCAGTCTGAGCCCTGTCTGCTGTTTGGAAATTCCGTTCTCTTTGAGTACATGATTGATACGTACAAAGTTTTGACCTGGTGAAACTCTTGATCCTTAGAACTGGAATTTCCCTCCCTTTCATAGAAACAGATCTGCTGTATGACCCTTCGAGTTTGACGTCATTGGTCCAAGTAGGACCGAAACGTCGTCGTAAGCTCCTCTTTATGTGCGGGTTATTTGTGTATTGTTCCAGTCACGGTATTGTTAATTTTTTTTTTGTTATTTGTGTATAATTGTTGGTTATATATTTTGGGCCGCGTCTCATAAGAACTTCTCACTTCTCCCAGATTACATTTTTCTCGACTGATTTGTAGACTTGAGCCTGAAACGAATTTTGAATATACGCTACTTTACTTGAGGGTCTTGTCCAGCCTATACCCATGGCATGTTCCTAGGTTGAGGGTATTTTTGGGGGTGATTATGTACGACACATGCTCTTGTAATGACTTTTTGTTTAATGAATGTATCTTTCTACGATGAATGTTTTTCTATATTTTTTATGATGAATAGTGTTTTGTATGACGAATGTCTTTTGTATGAGGTATGTTTTTTTTCTGAATGAATGGATCATTAATGGTCCAAGTCGGACCGAAACGTCGTCATAAGTTTCAGTCTCCTAAGTGCGGGTTATTTGTGTATTATTCCAGCCACGGTATTGACTGTTTTATATAACTGAGAATTTCCGAAGCATTGGTTTCGTCTCTTCATTGATGATATTCTGTTGTTGTTGTTGCTGTTGCTTCTTCCACCACCACAATAACAACAACAACATCAGAGGGCTGCTTATCCTGTACTCGTTCTTGGTGCTTCAATGCGACTCCAGCCGGAGTATGTATATAATGAACCAACTCGTGTTAGTGTTAATGGTAAACCACAGTGTTTGGCATGGTTAAACCACAACAAATGTTTCTTGCCATCGCCGATAAAAGATACAGATTAATTCCTCTCCACTGCAGATGTTTGTCAAGGAAGCTCTTATATCAAACGCAGTGAAACACTGCTTTAAATACCCTAGCACTGACTGACCTGTTAGTATGGCCTGAAGTAAGTTTGCTTGTCGTATTGTACCTAATGTGATCCAGTGGTTAGTGTGATGGACTAGTATACATATTCAAAATCACGAGTTATAGACTCCCATGACTTGAAAAAGTTAAAACGGTTTATATCAGTTTTTCTTATGCAGTAACATGACTTAGAGGTCCAAGAACTATATAGACAGCTAATGATGAAAGGAACACTGTGAGACACTTGCTGCTGATGTCACACCTGGGGTACTTCTCAGCATTATCTCAACATTACTCTTTTTCTAGCCAATATGGTGAAGTGACCATTGCGATTGACTAGTAAATCCTAGATGGTAAGTTCAAGGCTCATCCATCCCTTGAAAAAGTTAGTCATTTATTATGTTTTTTCTTATACATTTGATAATGCCAGAAGTCTCAAATGCTGCGTTGTGACCCACATAGGTTTACCACTTTTCCTTTAATATAATAATAAGAATTAGTCATGAACACAAAGGAAAGCGAAATTATTTTAGTTGATTTTTGTTTGTTTATATATATTTATTATGCATAAAGAGTTGGTCAAGGAAGACTTCATTGCAGAGCTTTAAGTGTTGGCTATCAGAACTAGCGTGACTGGACGACACTCTTCATTGTGGTAGTTCTCAGAGTCAGGTGTCGTTTAGGTGTTCGTCTGTGCAGCCGTCGTCCCAACTTCTCCTCTCTACCCATTTTAGCCACCACGACTGGAGGTACCATCATGTTGTAAATATTAATCACTGTGGCAACAATTCTCCCAGGGCAAATGTATATCGAGGCTACTTACTTCATTTGTGTATTATACTATTGAGAATTTATACTGTATTTTGACTTACCCGGTAAATCTGCCACCACCAAACCCACGGTGGAACACTGGAGTAACAGGCTCTGGATAGGCCATAGCCACGCCCACGGCAGCCATCATGACCACTACGATCATCTAGGAAGGGAAGTGTAACAGAGATTACACTCATGAAAGTAACGCGACATTTCTGACGATCCCAGTATCTATCAACTTATTCGTACTTTAAAATAAGTAAAGTTTGCCTTAATGCATCAACAATCAGCCAGAAAATAAGGGAGTCTATTCAGTCTGTCACTGAGATACTTCATTCTTGGCTGAACTGGCTGCAGCAAGAGTTATCCAAATACTTTTCTAACGAAATTAACCCAATTACTAGAAACGTTATTTAATGCTGCGTTAACCGATCCTTTAATCATATAAACAACAGAGGTTTTCCTAAGCAATTCATTAAAAATGACCCGAAAGTTTTAGTGAGAAAGTCTGCTGATCTGACCATTAGTACTGGACTTTCCCTGGCAACCACCATCACCAACACAAAGAAATACCACTGGTAGCAGCGGCATTATCAGCACTGTCACTAGCACCAACACAACACAAGCACCAGAACGAATTATCAACACTAACCCAACGAAATATTTTACATTACTAACCAAGACTCGGAGATAGTTCATGGTGACTACAGGTACCTTTTAGTTCTTCAGCGTCAGGGGAACCTACTGATGCTAGTCTGGGTATTCCTCCACTATTTATATACCTTTGCTTCTCCTTCCACGTCAACATCCTCTCGTGACGTTACGCTACTTAGCAATTCTATTTTATGGAGCACAGTTAATTAAACTCAACTTATGCTTTAATGGAAAATTGTTTTGTTGTTTTTTGTATTTTTCAAAGTTGTTTTGTTGGGAACAGTTTAATGATAATATTTTCTTCATGAAATGGGGAATACAGGCATGACCTAAGATCATGTACCATAGTTGACCTCCGGGTATTTTCGACTCTACGACTCTCTTGCCCAGTGTGTTAGGATGTTGCTTATTCTGTGTATGAGGCAAAAATATTTACTCCAAATCCTTTTCGTTTTCTCGTTGTTTGCTCCGTCTCCGAGTTTCGCTTCCTTCGTGAATTATATAACTTGCACTTATTCCGACTAAACTTACCTCAGCTCCATGGAGCTGAACTTTTCTTTCCAGGCTGAGGGACTAAACCACCTCAAATACTATTTCTACAAGGTTGATGGACTGATTACATCGTCTTCATTTCACGGCTACACCTGTTGCCTCTATATTTGACTGGAGAAGCCTATTGTGTCAGCGAAACTTTTCAACAATAACTGTTGCACATGTTTGTTAATCATCAATACATTATACTTTCTAATCAGTTTAAGGTCCAGTGGTTTTCATTCGGTATGACTTAGCTTTATTATTATACACTTACTTGATTATATTAACTGTATTTATGTGTCATGGCTAATTTATAAAGACAAATTTAAGAACTTGAGAGTAAATGAGTATTCCGTTAGGCCTACTGGCCTATACCAGGCAGGTCCAATTATATAATGAAAGAATATTTAACGAACAATGAAAAACACATATTTTATTTGTCTGTTACTGATGAATGTTGATCAGAGAATAATTTTATGAAGACATTTAAACGTCCATCAGGGACGGCGTCAATGGACGATGCTTGTAGATGTGGTTGTGCTCGGGTGTCGTTCCAGCCAGTGCCACGACCACTGAAGCTGCTACACTCATACATGTTAGTCACTATAGTCACACTCCCGAAAGATGTTTAACTCACGGAAAATATTCTGTGAGTTAAAGTATTCTTCCATTTCCTATTAAATTAGGGCAACCCAAAGAAGGAATCACATTCATTCACTCATTCTGCAGCTGTCTCCGCAAGTGCACACACCTCATAATTCATATGATATTACAAGGTAAAGCCTCCAACCCCATCCTTCAGAGCACCCAGCGTATTATAAAACAAGATGGTCAACTCACTGCTGATTTCAGTTACTACTACTACTGGTGGTGGTGCTGCTGCTGATGCTACTACTACTACTACTAATATATTGCTGCTGCTACTACTACCACTACCGCTACTGCTGTAACTACCACTACTACTACTGCTGAAGATATCTTTTCCTCACCTGACCTGTGTTGTAACTTTCTTTCCCCTCTCTCTTCCAGACCTATCTTCCAGTCTTATTTACTCGCTCACTTGTCACTTGATAATGCCCAGGATGGGCCGGAAACTTCTCTAGTTTCTTCCAGTGTGGGTTATTTGTGAAATATTACACCCCCTTTATCGTGACTTATTCATTTATAAGACGGTTACATTCTCAGATTCATAAAGAATTTTATTAGTAATTGCTCCTTCACTTTAACTTCCCCGAGGACATCAGTGAAGCCATGGTAGCGGTCCACCACCGTGTCGACCATAGTCTTATTATTATTATTACAATCAAGGGGAAGCGCTAAACCCGGAGGATTATACAGCGCCTGGGGGAGGGATGTGGAAGGCATTCAGGCTTAATTTGGGGAACTGGAGCACAAAATCCAATTCCCTAAATAAAGAGCCCCTCACCAACATCAAGGAACCTTCCTTGAGGGGGACCATAGTCATAGCCTCCACAACTCATAAATGTACATATTAGTCGCTATTTCCGAAAGGTGTTTAACTCGCATAGAATTTACTTTAAAATTTTCTTTTTCAGTACAGTAGAACTTCGGTTTCGAATGTGCTGCACCTCGAATGAACTTGAGTTCGAATAGTTTTTGTTCAAAAAAAATTTAAACCCCGGCCTTAGAATGTTTTCCTGGAGTCCGAACGCGTGGGCTTGTTTAAAATGCAGTTATAAAAAACTTTACACGAAAACCTTGTTTTCAAAATTGCTTCGAAGTGACCTCTGACACGGGATCAAACTCTCAGAGACTTTTGGAAGAGTCGGTTTCAAAAATCCTTCATCCAGGGCCAGATTAAGAAGTCTCCGGGCCCTGGGCTATCAGATTGGCGGGCCCCTTTGAGTTCCCGGGTAAGCGAAGCGACCCCTTCCAGCTTGGGGGTGGGGAGCTTGGGGGTGGGTTGGGGTCGGTGTGAGCCTGTTTAAAGTCTAATTAAATACATTCTGGCCATTTAGATTAAATTTAATAGGAAAGTACATCAAGACAACCAAAACCATTTACCAACAGCCATTATAATTTCTTGTTAAATCATGCATTTTAAAGAGAATAAACTCAAGACGTGGCTTATGTGTTTCTGGGGAAATATGTAGTAAATTAATTGATGTTCTACATCACTTCCGTCGCAACTTGAAAACTAAGCATTTGCGACGGAAGTGATGTAGAACATAAAATCAATTGAGATCTGTTATTGAAATGATAAAGACTTAAAGACAGGACAAATTTTTTTTTAAAAAACCTACAAACGAAGTCAGTTGCGTTTTTAGGTTTTCTTTATAGTATTTTTACCAAAAATGCGTCTTTACTGGTCCAGCATCTTTACTGGTCAAGTAACCCTATCAGGTACCTCCCTTAACATTTAGAGGCGAAAACAAAAAATTATCCATACCACATCAATGTCTATCAACAACACTTCAGTTAATTTGTCACAGTACAAGTCTAGATAACGTGTAATTACTACAGAAAATTGGAGAGGAATCTCCATACTCACCCATTAGCGGGAAAACACAGCTGTTCTGATGTAAACAAAGGCGTGTTGAGTGTTGCCATCTAGGGTTGGGTTTTATTTATTTTTATTTTATTTTATTTCATAATTTATTTTTGTTTGATTAATTTTTAAAAACAATTTTACTCTCCAAACACTTGAACTTTTTAGGTGGGGGACCCCTTTGCACTTGCACCATGTGCGCAGTCTTGGATGAGCGCCTGAACCCCTTGGACCGCGGGCCCCCAAATGCGCGGGGCCCCCAAATGCGCGGGCCCTAGGAAAAATGTTCTAGTTTGCCTATGCGGTAATTCCCGGCCCTGCCTTCATGTGTTGAGGCTGATAGTTAGCGTGGCAAATACTGTTTCCGACATTGAGATTTTCGCAGTGAACACCACCTAGAAACACTTAAAGTCAAAACCGAGGTTCCCACTGTATTTTGGCTGCTTCCCAATTAAAATAGGGCAACGCAAAGAAAGAATTATATTCACCGTCATTCTTTCTGCAGCTGCCTTTCCTGAAGAGCAAAAGACATCATTATTCAAATGACGTACAATACAGTCAAGTAGATGAATAAAACATATGTGCGACATTGTCTTTATTGTCGTACGGTTTCGCCTGCTCTGCAGGCTTCTTCAGGCGAACAAAAAGTGACTAAATATTGGAGACAGCAGAAGCTTGGAGAGGCAAAGATGAGGTGATCAGTCCTTTAGCCTTGATTGAGTTATTTAAGGGAAAAAACTTCTAAGAACTGAGGGATTGGCTGTTACAAAAAAACGCGATTCTAAAAGCTTAGAAAATCTCCAGTGAATACTAGAAAGGACTGCCCTTCTACCCATCCAGCCTGTTACTGGGTTTTCTTTAACAAGTAGTCAGTATCCTTGTCCAATTATCCATTAAAATTCAGTATTATTCAATAGTGCTTCAGGATTACAACTGGTAGGCCTACTAACTAGAGAAATTAAAATTTAATAAATTTATTAAGTCTAGAGGTATTTATCAAATTAAAAAAATTTAAAAATTAATCACAGTAATCAAAATAATACAATCTCTCGAGTTCAATATTATTTGTGCTGAAAGCAAATATCACATTTAAAATTTTCTTAAGTACGTCTGGTACATTAACATTTAATAAGATATTACAAATATGTACAAGTAAGTGTGTTGTGTGTAAGTGAACATAAAAAATGGTATACAATACCGACAGGTTTTAGGTAAGTGATGGACTGATTACATCGTCTTCACATCTCTACTGTTCCTGCCTTACTTTCTGGATTCGACTGAAGAAGCCTACTGTGTAGGCGAAACGTTTCGGAATAAAGTTGTCTAACTTTTGCTTTTTGTGTTCTTCCCTAACAACATGTGTGTAAGTGCTCTAAGTTTACCTGGAGTTTACCTGGAGAGAGTTCCGGGAGTCAACCCCCCCGCGCCCGGGTCCTTGACCAGGCCTCCTGGTGGATCAGACCCTGATAACCAGGCGTTCTGCTGGTTTGCACGCAAACCAACGTACGAGCCACAGCCCGGCTGATCAGGAACTGACTTTAGGTGCTTGTCCAGTGCCAGCTTGAAAGACTGCCAGGGTTGTTGGTAATCCCCCTTATGTGTGCGGGGAGGCAGTTGAACAGTCTCGGGCCCCTGACACTTTTTGTATTGTCTCTTAACGTGCTAGTGACACCCTGATTTTCATGGGGGGATGGTGTATCGTCTCCCAAGTCTTTTGCTTTCGTAGTGAGTGATTTTCGTGGGGCAAGTTCGGTACTAGTCCTCTAGGATTTTCCAGGTGTATAAAATCATGTATCTCCCCCTCCTGCGTTCCAGGGAATCAGGTTTAGGAACCTCAAGCGCTCCCAGAATTGAGGTGTTTATCTCCGTTATGCGCGCCGTGAAAGTTCTCTGACATTTTCTATGTCTCACGACTCGACTAGACTTAAACAAGTGACTGACAAAGTCCTCACATAAACTAACTTCTAAACCGACTGGCAACCAGAACAGTCTGCTTGAACAATGAAAAGAATGCTAAGCCCAAACCCAATAAACAAGCGACTGTGACACAATCAGGATCAGGAGATAACAAACGACACTAAGTGGGGGACCATCAGCAGATCCTCCACAAAAGTTACAAAACTCCCATACTACTGAATCTAAGTCAGCATAGGAAAACCTGACTGTGACAATACACAGAAACCAGTACAAATTAGGTCAGAAGCTAAAAGCTAAGGACCTGAGATGTTCAGAGTGTCTAAGCAACACACAACCTCAGTACAAACGTCGAAAATCACTAAGTAATACAATGTTCTGTGAACAGAGTTCTACAGAACTAACAAGAATAAAGAGACAGACAATTGTCCAACCACCAAGCGAGTCTCGAGCAGATGAATACTTCACGAGAGGTGAGGACACCCCCCCCTCGATCACGGATACCCCCGTGGACAGCACAGCTCAGAAGCCGGCAGTATAATGAGCGACAAGCGATAATTACAGTAGTTTGACAATCAAGACTTGAACTGAGCACATATTATGTACATCCTAACAACATAAGTCAAATAAGAATATATAGCAATATATTTACAATTTAGCTATTATCGCAAATATAAGCAATATAAAATTATATGAAAAGATAATATACATTATATATATACATAATAATCATTGTAACCCATTCAGGGGTTGCAACACCCCCCCCCAACACGACAGACGGTCGCACTAGGAGTTGCATTAATGTCTTTCACATTATTACTGATTACTCATATCAATACAATTTAATATAAATATTATTCAAAGTCTCTCTTGTGCCAAGCACCTCTACAATTTCACAGCGTCCGTCACTAGGATATGCCCCTAGTACTAGGGCAGTACACAGTATCGTATCTCTGCATACTCGTGGTTATATACATCAGTGTAGAGACAGGATAGCGTAGACGAGCAGGGCACTGAGGCTCGATCATAGTAGAGGAGACTGCATTCCACTCTTAATAGTGGTTGTGGAATGCGAGGCAGAAAGAACATCTGAGTATGAAACAGCTTAAGGTGTGTAGTGAGGGGGGGTCTGCGACAGGACAGTGTTGCGTCATGCAGTACATCACCCGCACCACACTACACACTCAACACTCAGCTTGTCTCCTCCTCACACAATACTGTGAATATATAAATATAATAATTAGACATGATATAACAGTTAAATATGGGCTGGAGGGATTAAGTTACTTTACTGAATTTGACATAGCAAGTAACAAAAGGTATTTGGGCATAAAATTACGTAAATTTTAAATGGGGAAGTGCCCAAATACTCGTCAAAATGTTCAAAGGACACCACAAGAGCTATAGCATAATTTTTCTGGTGTCGTTTGAGCTTAGATGAATAGTAACATATAGGATGGAGAATGTCAGTGGATGTTGACTGTTGGAGCAGGGACAGCACCCCCTGCATAACAACTCGCATCTATATGTAAAAAGATGGAAAGATTGAAATTAGGACTCAAAACTGGAGCAGAGGATAGCAAATGCTTCAACCTTTTGAACAAATCTGAACAATCACTAGTCCAGATGAACTGAACTTTGCTACTAAAGCTCATAGTGAGAGGTGTAGGTGGAGGTGAGTGCGCTGGCTTGCCTGTCACTTGACACACGTGGCAACGTCGCACATGATCTGCTACTGTTTCCTTCATCTTTGGCCAAGTAAAATGTTTTGCCAGTTTACCGAGTGTCTTCTTGACACCCAAATGTCCTCCTATGGGACTATTGTGAGCAAAATCAATGGCTTGTTCACGAAATGTAACTGGTAACACTACGAAATGCTTGACTGTGGTGGAAACACATCACTGACAACTTACATGTATTTTTCTCCATCAGTACACCGTTACTATAATAGTAACAATTATCGAGATCCTTTTCTTCACTCTCAGTAACTGCTATATCTCTCAGTTTTTTCCCGTGACTGATCAACAAACTGATCCTTGATTAAATCATCATGAGTAAGAAATTTAACGTCAGTTGTGTCTTGACTAGGTTGATGACCGGGGGAGTCAGTGTTTAATGATCCTGGGCGCAGAGCGTCACTAAACATATTCAGCCCAAATCATTGTCATCCACTAACTCAACAGGAGACAAGGATGGTTTTTTGAATCTTTGACATAGCTCTAGTAATTGCGCTGAGAGGAAATAAATAGGTTTTTCTCTACAAGCTTTAAAGGCATAATTTCATCAGTGTTATTATCAATCACAATTTGGGTTCTTTTCATATACCAGCATGAAGGGTATCGTTCCCTATCAACAAATCCACTGACCTGATGGGAAATACACCACTGGATATACCCACTGAAATAAACCAGTATAATAGCTTGTTTCATATAAACTTTGTGAAGAGGTACTTTTATAACAGCCCCACCATAGGCTCTAAAAAATACATCTATCTTGCATTAGGTATCATCAGTTAAGGGCAGTACATCTTCTCTTAATAACGTGAGATAACTGCCAGTGTCTCTGAAAGTAACTATTTCAGTTAGATGTGATTTGTCAAATCCTACTTTACCTCTCGAAAAGTAAGGACTCATCGCTGAACGAATCTTTTCGTCAGATACACTTCTGACGCTAGTCATCTATCCTGAGTAACATTATCTAAAAAAAGTAGGGTCAGAGGTATTACTAGGATTTGGTGCCTTTGTTGCTCGGAAGAGGATACGACTTGAGTGGGGGCGCCAGCCGCATGACTGTATCTCGCATCTCTTTCTAACTTATAGCAATACTCTCTAGCATGTCCTTTTCTGTTACAATAGGTACATTTAACTTTCTTCTTCTCGATATCAGATTTCTGTCTAGCCACAGGGACAGATTCAGGATTGTGAGTTTTCCTGGTAAAGGTACGAGAAGTTACAGTAGCAGGTACATCAGGCCGGCACTGAGCAGCTGATTTAGGTTGCCAGCTTCTAGGACCATCTTTAGTTACCTTGTTTCTTTGTGTTTTAGTAAGTAAGTAAGTAAATTTATTCAGGTATACACAAATACAGTTACATAGAATTATCATACATAGCAGCATATGTGTAGAGAACCTAGGATAACCCCAAAAAATCAGACAGAGTGACTTATTTCCATTGGGGTCCTTTTACCTTATTATTATAATATAAAGGTTATAATATTTTCTTATTATTCTTCAATGAAGATAACATCTTATTATCATACTAAAAAGACTATCTACTACACGAGGGTCATTAAGACTATCTACAATACGAGGGTCATTACTAGGGATAAGGTAAAATTTACACGTATTTTAGCTAAAAAATAGAAAATCATTCCCCTCCCTTTCTGTAGCTTCATTCATCAGACACTTTTTGGCAGTCTTCTTGAACTGGTTCATGCTATGACTGGCTTTGACATGTGCAGGTAGTCTGTTCCATTCCTTTAAATTTCTGTACAATAAAAGGTGTTTGACGCCTGGCCACTGACTGTGGGTACGTACAAGTTTGTGAGAAATCTCGTAATTGTCTGCTAATGCTGCAGTTTCCAGAATATCTGAGGTAGTATGATCGATCAGATATTTTGTAAATCAGCAGGCATACAGTTGTTAAACTCTTCGTGTAGTAACAACTGAACAAGACTGTCATAGTTGTTACACTTGGCAGACCTACACCACCTCTGAAATGCAACTTTTTTCTCACGAGCAAACTCTACACAAGTTTGATCTTGTCGTCGTTGTAATGTACGAAATGCTCTTTGATAACTTACAGGTAACAAGTTATACGTCTCTAGAATTGTTTGTTTGACAGCGTCATAACTAATGTACTTGGTAAATGGCAAAGCTGCAGTACAGGTTTGAGCTCTTCCTGTCAAAGCATATGCAACAATGTTGCCCAGTGCTTACGTGGCCCAGTTCATAGCACGTGCCTGGTTCTCAAACACATCAAAAATGTGTCTAAGTCACTTTCAAAAAACTTAGGAACCATGGATGCAGCTTTCTGCACATTAAATGTGTCCCGTGATCTAACAGTCGTTGTTTAAACAGACGAACATTTTCTCTTTGGAAATCTTCTTCGTTCAATTTCCCTGTGCCTCTATTTGTGCAGTCTGCAACATAAGGAGGCGTTCAAACCTCTCAAAATGTTTTCCCGAAAAGATAGGACCAGTGGGTAATGGAGGAGTAGGGAAATTAACATGGTCTGGACGGTCCTTAGGTCGGACACTTCGTCCAGCCGTCTCTAGAGAGTCTAGATCTGGTCTAGGATAAGTAGATACAGGTGTATCATACACTGTACTAGTATTAGGCTGTGTCATACTACCAGCTATACTCTGTACTATAGTGTCAGTGAGGGAAGAAGTGAGCGAGAACTGAGCTACACTAGGCTCAGACACTAGGCTCACTTCTGCCTTAGGTGCTCTTTCTTCTAAGTAATCAAATAGAGTCATACTTCCTAATTGTGACACTAGGCTTTCTGAATCTGAATCATAATCAGACATCTCGGTATGAGCAGGAAACAATATATCTTTAATTAATGCTCTGACAGTTTCAGCTGTGTAATTCCTGTTATACGTCACACCGAGATACTTGGCTACTTGCCAACATGTCTGAAGTTTTAATGTACTTAACTCAGACAAAGTCAGAGTATCAATTAACTGTTTCACTTTGGCATACATCACAAAAATAATTGTACTACGAGAGAGTGATTATGGGAAACTATAATCCTAATGGGAATTTGTGTTGGTTGTCTTAGAGCTAGAACTCATAAACAGTATTTCCATCTCCTTGGATCAAGAGACTCAGTCAGGTACATACATCCACCTGGTATGTTGTACAAGACTAAACTCAGAAGTACTAGTATGTCAAACTGGACAATTTCTCCAACACCTTGGATCAAGAGCCTCCTGGACAGGCCCCCATTTGTTACAAAAAACGCGATTCTAAAAGCTTAGAGATCTCCAGTGAATACTAGAAAGGACTGCCCTTCTAGCATCCAGCCTGTTACTGGGTTTTCGTAATAAGTAGTCAGTATCCTTGTCCAATTATCCATTAAAATTCAGTATTATTCAATAGTGCTTCAGGATTACAACTGGTAGGCTACTAACTAGAGAAATTAAAATTTAATAAATTTATTAAGTCTAGAGGTATATTATCAAATTAAATTAAATTAAAATTAATCACAGTAATCAAATAATATCAATCTCTCGAGTTCAATATTATTGTGCTGAAAGCACTTATCACATTTATAATTTTTAAGTACTGCTGGTACATTAACATTTAATAAGATATTACAATATGTACAAATAA